CCCCCCCCCCCCCACTTCCCAAGCCAGGTGGAGAGTCAGCAGCACTTGCCACATTTTGCCATCCCTGGAGGCCAAGGGCCCAATGCTGGCTGCACCCCCACCCCTTTTCAGTATCCTAGACCCCCCCACAATCTATGGTGCATCTTGCGCAACAAATATCAACATGCATGCCATTGGAACTCAAGTGACTGCCTCCACTACTTCAGATATGTTGCAGTATCAGGTGCTTATTTAGCTGTATGATTAGTTCCCAAGTTCACAAGAGCAGCGCTATCATCATTTGACTGATACAGCTGAAACCATTCATTTCTGGCACCATGAGGGCATGGATATGATGCCTACAGTTGCCTACAAGGGACAGGCACAAAAAGAAGAAATGTTTCAGTACTGTACAGATGGGTTATTTGAAGTGTTGTAGATGAGATGAAGCTCAACCTTCCCCCACCCCCCATCTCTGCTCTCAGAGCTCTCAAATATCACAGTCTTCAAATGGTGAGAAAACTGAGGATCCTTCTGCCTTTCATGCCTTCTCAGAGGATCCAAAGGACATGTGCACAGACCTGGTGGCACTGCTGTGACCAAACGATCTGGTCTAGCATGTGTGAAGTACTTACATTGTGAGCCATAGCAATATCTTGAAGAACCAAAGCAGGAAAAGTAATATTTTTTTTTTCCTTTTTGTAACATGTTGACTGGGTTCTTCAGTTGACATGCCTTTTAGCAGGTGCTGTAAACCTTCAGAGAGAAGTGAGCATCTAGAGCTCAAGTGCCCATCACTTTGGGAATAAACTAGTGAGACAGGCCCATTTATGCAGATGAATCTAAGATCTGGAACTGATATTTTTTTTCTCTAAAGGAAGAACTCTAGGAATAATCAAGTCAAGAGTAAGGGTTTGATCAGGAGTTTATATTGTTTGGTTTGTATTAACTTGTTAATAAAAGTCAAAACCCAGCAAAAGTGTAAGTTTTCGAATCCATGTTGCCTGTTTGGGGCATGTTGGGAATAGCACCTGCTTACAAAATACATCAGCAATACTTTCCTTTGATGACAAGAATTCATTTTGATGATAAGAATTCATCACTGGCTAACTGTATCTAGTGCCCTGACAACTAGTATATCTATGGACAAATATCTAGCGCATTTTTAAATGTTTTGTGGTTGAAGAATGTCTGAAGGGAGAACCTTGGTTTTAAAGGAACAACTTGAGCAGTGATGCTGTTCATGTTATGTGTCATTGCCTTCTGGCATAACATTAATGGTTGCTCTATCTTCTGTTTTTATGAAATGCTGTATGCTTGCCTGTGCCAAACTGATATTTTAGCTTGGCCTCTTGTAGGCTCAGATCAAGTGTTGTGCTTGATCTACTGTTTGATTCAATATCCTCATTTAAACAGCTTGGAAAAAGAGTGGGAAGGTGCTTTTTCAGTTTTTAACTTTTCGAAAGTGTTAAATTTTTCTTCATTTTTAAACCAGCAATGTTCTGTAGTTTTAATATTATTATTACAAGTTGCTTTTTCTGTCATAGAAATGTATAACTTACCCCTTAATCATATCTATGTGTATAAGTTTGTGGTACTATTCATTGCACTTGCAAACCACATTAGCAATTGTTATGCCGTTTGACAAAACTATATAGTTTCTTTCCATCTGGCAAATCAGTCAATGTACTTGTAAAGCAACAAAGAAAAAGTATGGTATTTTTACTCTTGAATTATGGAAGCCTCACCTCTTGTATTTTATATATGGTGTAAAACAAAAAAGGAACTGAAAAAGAAAAATTCAAGTAGAGTTGTTAACTAATTTTTGGTGCTTGTCTGGGGTGAAAGGGGGGAGGGGAAGATTTATCTCCCCAACCTACCATCCCATTTCATTTTGGGGTGCAATAAAACAAAGAAAAATACATTTTCAGGTAAAAGTTGTAAGTCCAGAAATAAATAAAATAAGAGCACCAATGCTTTCTATCACTGGGGAACTTTCTTCATCTAAGCACATATGAACAATTGATCCTTGTAGTCATATATAGCAGTAAACATTAATAACTTAACAGTCTGAAGTCAGTGCTGAAGATATGGAGCATTATTGAAAGATGGAGTCGAGCAGGTGGCACTTTAATATGTTCAGTGTCATGGTTGACTCTAAAGACTAGTAGAATGAAATTACTTGAGGTTCTAAAGATTTAAAAAGCGAACTCATTTTGCTGCACTAAGGAAATGCTACTGATCAGGCTTTCTGTGTCCCTTTTTTCTAGGCTAGAAAATATTAACCCTGAAGAAAATGACATGGTAAGCCATTCTCTGAGGAGATTTCTTGATGTCAGTCTTATATCTTAGAGGCTTAAGTTCAATTGAGTGGGTTTCAAGAACTAAGATGTGGGAAAAAGAAGAATTGACACACTAATAACGTACATCTTTGCTGCAATATGAAAATTCAATAACTTCACTCAGTCAATTTACAATTCACATGTGCCTATTAATTAAAACCCTATATTAAATAAAATATATTAAAACTTCATGTCTGACTAACATATAATGCTGTTGGTAGACATTACAGGAATTACTGAACAGAATAAACAATGCAGACACAGGGCTAGCTATACAGAAGAATGGAGCTATAATTGTGGATCGAATACACAGGACCAAGGAATGTAAAAAGAAAATAACAGCTGAAGAAATGAATGCACTGATAGAAGAAAGGGATGCTGCTTTGTCTGAAGTAAGTCTCCACAAGTCTATAAAAGTATTTAGTGCCCAAATTCCCCCTCTTTTTATCTTTGGGGAAGCACATGCTTCAATGTATGTTGCAGCATTCCCTCTAAGCTGTGTGGTGTGCACGACGGTGCAGGCGTGCTCATGCCACACTGCCAGGCACGCCTGCATGCCCGCACACATTGCGCTCCTTAGAGGGAACGCTGGTATTTTGCCTTTTGAAAGTTCACTTTTTCTTACAGAATGCCAGAAGAGTAAACAATGATTACATATCGCAGGAATGCTATTAAAAATGTCCCTGCATTTTGCAAACAACTTTGAAAGATATTGATGTATATAAAAAACTACCAAAGGTTCAACTATGCACCTCACTGTGATACAGGGTCCAACAGATCTGTAAAGTATTAGACAGTGGAAAACTACAGAAATAGGTGATGACTCTGTCCCATAAAAATCTTCAAAGATGAACAGATATTTTCCTCCCCTCGAGGGCTCCACATTTAGGAATAGACATGTGTGTTCTCCTTGGTAGTCTCTCACTTTTCAGTCTCTTAATCTCTTCCCCCCGCTCAACAGAAGCTTATGGTACTTCACAGCACTTGACTCCTTCTGCCTCCCAACCTCCACATAAAAGTTATCCTCCTTCCCTGAAGAAAGAAGAGAGCTTCAGCTCTTCACTTTCTTCAGAGTTCTGACTGTCTGTGGCGGAGCACCTCCGGTGCCTGCCACTTTAAGGGCTGGAGTGGGCAGTAGGCAGGTGCTTCATAAGCATGGCCATTTTAGAGCCCTACTTTCAGAGCTCGAGGCAGCAGTCTGCTGCTAGCAGCTCAGGAGGCAACATCTAGCTGAGCTGCTTGAAACATCCTTGGAGGTAAGGGCAGGAGCTGTGGGGATGGTAAGGAGGCCCCTGGTCCTGGGCATGACCTGAAACTTCACCTTGCTGGGGAAGGGTGGCCTGGTGGGGCTGTTTGTGGCAGAGCAGCCCTCAAGAAATGCCAGGCCAGTGACCTCCCCAGTGAAAGGTGAGTAGGGGCACCTTAACCCCAGTCCCCACCATTCAGTGGATAGAATAGCAACGGCCAGGCATGGGTGTGGCCACCTGAGCCCCACAGGGTTGTAAGACCCTGGAGGCCCCAGTGTGAAGGAGCTGTAGTGTGGCCTCAGTGTGAGGGGGCAGGAAAGTGGCCCACACAGAGTAGGGGGTGCCTTTGCAACTTGAAGGACTGTGCACAATGGGGTGTAGAGTAGGGCCTGCCCAGGGACCAGACCTGAAGGGCTGCACCAAGGGGTGCATAGAGGAAGGCTGCCTGGGCAGCAAAGCAAAGGACTGTACAAGGGCCAGCCCCACAAGATCAGTGAAATGTCAAGAGTGAGCCCTAGGGAGAGGACATGAGTGAAAGGCCCTAGTGAGAGGGCACAAGTGTGAGCCCTTGTGAGGGGACAACTATAGGGGTCACAGTAAGACTATGGATGCCTGAGGCCAAATTTGGGCTGGAGGCCAAGTGGTATGGCTCAGTAAGGGAGTGGGGGGAAGTTTGATGATTTTGGATGCCATCTGCAAGGTATGGGCTATATTGTAGAGATGGTACAAAGCATGGATAGTGCCCCTTGGCATTAGAGCATTATAACAGGCAGCCTCCCATTTAGAACACCAGTTTATTTAACCAGCAAGTTGTGGCAGGCAAGAATGGGCATGTTAAGGTTGAAACCCAGCCCTGAGCTTGCCCCCCTGTCACTTATGCCTTACCAAGAGTCATGCTGGATTTTATGGCAGTTCTCTCTGCTCCAGGTCTCAACTCCTGACTAGACTTCCATGGCAGCCTTAGTCCTAAATAATGCTGATATGCCTCCTCCTCCATTAGATTTCAGGGTGAAAAATCCTTTGCAGTTTATTCTCTTCTGTGGCAACTTTTATTTCCTCTGCATAAAGCCAGAGCAAGCTTTCATAAGCACTGCAGTCAGTCATGGGAATTAACTAGTCAAAAAATTAAAGAAATGGCTAGCTTTTAACTTTAACTAGTTAAAAAAAAAAAAAGGTTAACTTTTTTTAAGTATAAGTTAAAAGTAAAAAAAAATTGAAATTCAGCTTTCCCAGAGTTTTTCCTAGCAGGCACTCTCTAGGACTTACACGGAACAATATTTCTTTATTGAAATCTAGGACTTCTTGCTTGAGAGACAGAGAGTAGTGTGCTTTCCTATGAGATATGGTTTCTTAAGAAGTACAAGTCCCAGAGTTCCTTAGTTCATGCTAGAATTTTCTGTGCATTTGCAGAAGTCAACAGGGCAGCCAGTTGGCTGCAGGAGAGGGAACAAGCAGAAGCAAGCAGACACATTGGTCCTAGTAAGAGTGGGAGCAAGTAGTGAGCAGATGATAACTTTTAAAATTTTAATGAAGATCCGAACCAGGGCCCAAGAATTTGAGCTATGAACAGCACATGTCCCCAGCGCCTGGGGGCGCACGGCTGCGCCGGCAGGAGCGCAGTGGCGGCAGCCTGGCAGCAGTGAGCAGGGAGTTTCTGCAGACACCACTGACACTGTCAATAGTGAGGGAGGGGGAGGGGAAAAGGGGTGGTGAGCTCTGACCAGGGTCGGCGACCACCCGTAGGCACTGCCAGCAGTGGCTGGGTTGACTGTGGACTGCCTACAGACAGCATCGGCAGTGCTAGTGGCAGGATGACAAACAGCGACTGCCCGCAGGCATCGCCAACAGTATTGGCAATGCCTTTTTGCAGGGGATGCACCGCCACACGTAGGGGGTACATGTGCAGCCATGTGCACCCCCAACACATCACCCCTGTGTTGAGCATTACTTCTCATCTGTGAGAAACTTATGAGATGTCACCTACTATGAAAAAACTGTTCATCCGTTATATCACAAGCATTCCCTCATCTGCTCATGTAGAGCAATTGTTCAGTAGTGGGGACTTAGTTTTGTAAGACGGAAGAGGAAAATTGTCAGATGTAAATTCTGAAATACAGCTTTTGCTGAAGTTCAGTAAGCATGTTTAAACCATTTATACTATGCAACTGAACATTCTTTTTCTCATTTAAACTGATTTTGTCATTTCAGTCTAATTTTGATTTTCAGACACTTTCATTATTTCTAATTCAGATGTATGTCATACCTTTTTGTTACCTTTTGAGCAATAAAAATTGTAACAACAGAGGTTTTCTTTGGAAACAACTTTCATTTGTTACCTGGCTATGAATATCTCCTTTCTATTATTCTGGTATACGTATACGATACATTAACTTTTACAAAGTACTTCACATGGAGAGGGTGAGAAGGATCTAATATTACATAGGTATTGGTAAATTGTTATTCTAAAAAACTGTATTACAAGTATAACATTGTTTTTAGGTAAAGCAGGGTGAGTTCCAAGTAAGTTACAGTAAAAGCCATGTTATCTAGCACATTACAAACTGGCACACTGGCTTGTAAGGTAAAAGTGAAACCAGAAGTGCCCACCATGGCACTTCCAGTTTCTCTGAGCCCCCATGGCCCAGGGCAAAGCAGCCTGCGTGGGGCCCCCCTCCCTGTCCCTCGGCACACTGACGCAGTGGGAGGGGTGGCAATGTGGCGGGAGAGGTGGCGGCCCGAACAGGCAAAGCTTGGGCCTCTGAGGCAACTGGCATGTTTGGTTATCCGGCACCCCCCATTCCCCATGGGTGCCGGATAACAAATCTTTTGCTGTAACATGCTTCTGTGGGCTTCTGGAAAAGAAACCCACTCATTGCATTTGAAAATGGAAAATGATGCTAAGAGGCAATTCACCATGTTTCACACATTTCTCATTAATCAACTTCAAAAGAAAGTAACTAGTTAAAAGTTAACTTACCTTTTAACTAGTTGAAAGTGGAAATAAGTTAAAAGTTAAATAACTCAAGTTAATTTTAAAGGCTGCTAACTTTTAACTTTAACTAGTTACATTTTTCATAAACTTTTCCCATGGCTGACTGCAGTAATAGGGGTGCTGAGCACAGCTGCTCTTTGAGTCCAGATAGGAATGCAGTCTTTTAGTGTCTACTGCTAGGTGTCTGGGTCTGCAGTAGAAACCACAACTTATCAGTGCTCTTTCCATGGGTAGTTTGCACCACTTAATCTAGGTACACGTGCATTTGATGCACATTATTCTCATCCTGTCCCATGGCTTGATCCCATGTATCCATGGCATACAGGCCACTGTTGTTATCTGAGCTACTGCAAGGGGCTTCCTCCGTAGCAAACAGGGTGAGTGTAGGCATGTTATGGCTGCTCCAGTATTAACCTCAAGTACAATCCCAGCTGTCTGTTTAAAGTATCATGGCAATATTGCCAGAGTAGGTAGATTAAATTAAATGCCAGCTGTCATCTTCATCCAAAACTAGGATCAAATTTCAATTTGGTCCTCCCTCAGATACTGTCTGTTTTAATGATAAGGGTGCATGGTGATACAAGAGACATTTTTGAGGATTGATAAAGTTATAGTGTTATTCTGATGTTGTAGCTGGCATGGTCCTGGAATTATGTCAGTGGCAAGGATTTCTTTGAGTGATATCTTTTACTGGACCAACTGCATAGTTGACATAGGGAAGTTTTCAGGTCATCCTTTGGTCCAGAGAATTTGGGAATGAATACAATAGATATTAAAATTGGGGTCTCTTTAATTTTTGGTTTTGTTTTTCTTCTTCTTCAACTCCACCCCATTTCAAATGAGGAATAGTAAATATGTTGCAGAACAGACCACCTTTACTTGATTCAGAAGACCTACTGTTGATTTCTGTTTGTGGGGCATATTTATGTATGTGGTTAGGTGATTACATGTTTAAAAAAAGTAGTAAACCACATAGGTACTGGTGAAAAAACCCAGCTGTCCTGGCCAAAGGTTTATGGCCTTTAATATATATTTTTTTTAATTATGGCTGGCTTTTTATCTTTATACAGGACATTGCAAGTTGGGAAACCAGTAAAAGAAAAGAATTCAGCAAAAGAAAAGGATATGTTTGGTATTTTTCTTTTGTTGTTGT